GTACACAGGTACTAATCTATCCCCTAACTTAGCAAACATGTTTTAGAATATCATCTGCAATTAACTCTATAAACTCTATTCCTCCAGTGATTTTTTGGATCAGTTTTATGATTCCATCACACATGRACCCATRACATCATGTATGGTTTAAATACACACATTCAATCTATATTTGAATGAGTCATGGCTTTAGCTATTTAAAAATAATACTATGATATCTCTTGTTTCAAAGATAATACTTATCCTAAGATGAGTAATTCCATCAGTTTCCTCTTCCTCATAAACTTCAAAATAAATTAGCAAAGTAACTGGATTTTTCTCTAGAACAACTCAGTCCTGGTGTATAAGGACTGGCACAGGGTGCCGTGAGACCTGAGAGACAGACAGATGGAGCATTAGAGTGCAGTTTACTGGGGACTCACTGATAGATGCAATTTGAGTCAGAAAGAGAGGCAGGGAACTGGGTTTGGAGAAAAGAGACTTCATTGTAGCTGGAATGTACCTGGTTTACCTTACACTGACGTAAGTGTCAGGCACTCTCCTGGAGCCAGACTCTGGTTGTAAAGCTCCACATATCACTYTAATGGTTTTATCCTTTTATACTTTTCTGGGAATCTATGCAGGAAAACCCAATTTGAGTTGGTCTGGGGCAATCATGGTGGTTACAACTCAGGATCTGCCGTCAAATCAGGCTGAATCCACACAGATGCTGTTTATTGTTTACCAGATGCGTTGCTTTAACACCAAACAGAATACAGACTTTTTTTTTGTTTGTTCACTTGTTTTCAATAATTCAGGCCAAGAATCTCCCAGGAGGTAGTTGGGTTGAGGGAGTTGGGGGTGGGGTGGCTGGCAACTTGTGTTCCTTTTCCTCAATTGATATTTCTTTAGCTCCAGATCCGTGGTCTATGAGTTTAAGTTCAAGTTTGCCATGCACTTCTGGACTCTCCCATCATTGGGGTCAGCACAGATTCGTTGTCCCTTCCTGCTGAAGAAACTGGAGAAAAGTGGGGAAAGGATTGCAAAATGAGTTGTCTTCAGCAGGTGGATGCAAGGAGCCCCATCCTCCTTACCCCTGGGAATCACCACCCAACAGTCTCTTCATTCCATTCTCTGCAGAAGGCA